ATAGTTGAGCCGTGCGCATCGCTTGGATGCATGGATTGCATATTGCTGGAGGTTCAGAAGTAGGGTATTCCAACGGAGCGCTGGCCGGAACCAAGAAGATCAAAAACGGATACAGAAAGCGGTGGTGGGGGCTGGCGCGCGGAGGGCGGGGAGGCTCCCCTTCGCTCGCCGCTTCTCCGCGCGCCCGCCCCCACCACCGCTCTCTGAATCCGTTTTTGTTCTTCTTAGTTCCGGCCAGCGCTCCATTGAAATACCTTATTAGCATCATGACACAACATTAGCACGTATGTATGGAATGGAATAAAAATACGAAATGCAAGCAAAACACCGTGACGTTCACGTACCTCCATTGCGAAATTCAGCAATGAGTAAGTGAACTTTATGTAATTCCAGAGAAACATTTCCTGTCTAGCAATACGAGGAATACGATGCGGGCATGTTTGTTAGGATTGTTTGGATTTTGGAGGAGGGATAGGGGGGGGGGGAGGACTTCAACCATAGCATACGCTTCATTCACGCGAGATTTCTTATTGTGTGATGGTTGGAGTTGTCTGCTAGCAAACCGGTCCGAACTGGGTGACAAATGTTGCAAGCGTGGGGCAAGTGCCTTTTAAAAACTGTTTTGTGGGCATTCTCTAGCAATGTCAACTTTTACTTCTTGTAACAACTATCCAAACACATGTCATTTAACCCCTTCTGAAGCACGTTATAGAAGCTGCAGCTGGCAATAGACCTTTTCGCCCACAACGTGGCAACGCCGCAAGTAGAATCTTATTCTTGAGATAAACCGTATTTTGAGTGTTTGTCAACCAAATTACTCGTCACCACTGGATTCCTTGGAAAATTTACTAGAGACAAGTGTTTTTGCTTTTTGAAAATTTGCCTAAATTATAATTTCACTAGGGAGATTTGCGTTGTTGCCAGGTTGTGGGCGAAAAGGTCTATGCCAACTTTTACTCATGGTTACAATTATCCAAACATATACAAAAATAATGACTGTTTATTTATCTATGACAGGTATTGTAAACAACAAGTATACACTGTAAAGGGAAAGGTATAAGAAGAAAATTATGTGAGAACTAAAATCGGCATTCTTTATTTAAAATCACATGAACAAATACAATATTTCATATGTTTAACATTGCAATAAATTTTTATCACACTTCTTTCATAATATGAAACCATCTTCACCTACATTAGGTATTAGATAAGACGTTAACAATTCTTGCTAACCATAAACGGACCCGTAGTTAAGAAAATTTTCTATTTTATAGTTTTGAGCAATATTTTTTGAATATAGAAGTTTGCGCCGCGTCATAGCGCCCTCTCACTCTCAGCGTCGTGCTGACTGCTGCTGCTGTTGTCAACAACAGTTGCTGTTGCTGTCGGAGCGCACCCACGCTCAGCGTCGTGCTGACTGCTGCTGCTGTTGTCGGCGCGCACCGATCCGCTCAACATCGTTCCGGAGCTCCCCTTGTTCGCCTCTAGGTCGGGACGCTGAATAGTAAGTATGGCGTGCTCAATAGAAGGGAAAATCATTCGGAGACGGCCGGTTAGAAGGGAAAATTTATTCGGGGAAATTTATTGGAAAACGGGCAGCTAACAGCCACTTATCGGAAAGTTCAACGCAATATTTATAGTTAAATAGAAGGGAAAATTCATTGGAGGACGGGCAGCCACAATCTTCCTACATTCTGTTGGTACCACTGTTAACCCGCTACTGCTCCCCTCTGAACTGCCCATTGTTGTTGGCAACCGAGCCCGCCGTCCGCCCGAGTGCCTCACCGGTACGTAGCCTCGCACGTGACAGCACTCGGCCCCCTTTCTGGGTAGGACCACGCTAAGCAGAAGGCATTTTAGGAGAAGTGTGAAAACTGTGATCTAAGCAACGGTAGGGAAAGAAAGCCTGATATTATGAATCAGGCGTAGTCTTAGATGCAATAGCAATGATTTAAAAACCCCAAGCGCAGTGATCAACGTCAGGACTAGCCGTAAACATAAGTTATTTCGCCGTCTTAAAAGTGCATCTGAAGGTTAGCGGCGACGCATATTTATTTAATTTTGAGGAAAACCAGACTCGAGCGCCAACATATAAATACTGTTCAGGATTCTACTGAACTAGCCGAAGTTCAAGCACTTAGAAGGCTGTAGTGCGGCTCCTGAATATGAAATCATGAACTGTGTTATTTCCTAAGTAGCGCACCGCGCGGCAAGAACAATACTGGTGTAATGTTCTTGCCGCGCGGTGCGTGTCAGTAATGTAATTAAGTTTGAATTTAGCTACGTTGCTGTCTCATTAAAACACATGAACATGGTTGGTGTTCCTGGTTTGTGAATTGTTTCCGGTTGCGTTTAGGTAGTGTGGTTGCGCAGTTGCACTGGTGACTGGTGCAAGTGTTGATGAGGATTGCTGTCAACTTGCTCTTACTGTGTACTTACAGGTATAGTGATATGAGTAAGTTCACATTATTAGACTTATGTTATTGTTGAAACTTTTTAGGTTTGATCATTATAATCAATGGATCATATTCAAGCTATTTTATTGCATTATCTGCATCTGATGTATGCAGTTTCAATAGTTATTGCAGCTTAAAGGAGGGGTTGCGGGGGTCCTTGCTATGGCATTTGCTTCATGTTGTTATATATTATCATAATTTGCAATGCTATAGGGGACCTTTCAATTATCTCCAGCCTGGCAATATTCGTCTTTTCTTTTCAATACATTGCAGCAGAAGGTAGTTAATGTTTTTTTATGTTGTGTAACTGCGTTAGTGTTATTCCTCCTTCCGTTTCATGTTTCAGCGATAAATTTCGCCATGGCAAGTTCATCGTTTGCCACAAACAGTTTCTGAAATGTGGTCCTCTGTGGGTGCATATGTGAATCCACATTGGAGAGAATCCATTGCAGTGCACGGTGTGCCACAGTATGTTCTTCAGTGGTTCGAAACTGCAATTTGCAATTTGCAGTGTTATAGAGGATCTTTTAATTATCTCCAGGCTGGCAATGTTCGTTTTTTGTTTTGAATACAATGCCGCAGAAGGTAGTTAATGTTTTTTTATGTTGTGTAAGTAGTTTTTATGTGAAAACATCCTATGCTATTATGTCGTTTATAAAATCTCTGTGTGTTACTGTTAAAAAAAGTGTTTGTGTTTGTTCAGTTTAATGAAGTACAATTCCAGAATTAATTTTAATCATTTAATGCAATCATGATTAATAAGTATGGAAACTGAACATAGGAAGGTTGTGTGATGGCTATGTTCTAATGTGCATCTTATTACATTTTTTAATTAATCTAATTATTAAAGTAGCTTAACAATATAGCAACATTATACTTATCAGTTGATATTATTTTTATGTTGTTTGAAACCAACTGTTTATACAAGACATTGTAGCATGTACCATGAATGTAGCTTGATGAATATTATTTTTTGAATGTGTTTCCAGTTTGAATTCCCTATTTGTTGAACAGAGCGAAGAGTGATGACTGCTGCAGAGTGGGTGGTGTTAAAGGTGTATGCTTGTTCCTTGCTTCATATTTATCCAGTCGAAATTTTGATGTGGGTGTCTTGTAAATGTTAACTGCAGATAAATTTATCATTCTTCCTGTTTTCACTCCTTTTGTGAAGGGTATAGCAACAGCTACTCTGCAGATCGGTAAATCAAACTTTGAAATTACATACATCCCCATGAGATCTCTGAAGAGGCTTGTATTCTGTAATTCATTGCTTATTTTGAGATCATAGTTCACCTGTATAACAAACAATATTTGTTGACAAACATTTTCAAATTAATTCGTGAAACTTGTGTTGACTTATTTAAAATAGTACTTACTTGAATAAATTGAATATTTGGTTTCAGATCATTTTCAAAGTGAATTGTTGTCACATTTATGTTTGTTGTCAGTAGCGAATTGGTAAGATGTATGTCAAACATTTCTAAACTTGATGTGCAGTGAATGAACACATCAATATCGTCGTATTGGTTTGTCAAATTTGCTAAGTAAGATGCATATCCCCCTGTTGAATGAAAAAAAATATTTACACGTAAATAGATTTGTATTTTGAGCGTATTTTTAGTTGATGTAAAAATGGACTTACCAGCAACATACAATTGATGAGATCCAGTACATCCTGTGCACTTCAGTCTCTCATAGAGTTTAATACTTCTTTTTAGTAATTTCTGATGTAGGTGCTTATTGGCAAAGTTTATTTCCGTGGTAATTGTCATCATAGGGGCGGTTTGGAGCAAAATCCATTAACTTTACTGCGAACTCTTCGGATGGTGCTGGATATAAACTATTGTATACCTTGGACATGTCTTCTTCATCTGTATTTATGTCTTGTTCTTTAACATTATTGTTTTCAATCATTTTATTTGAAAATCTGAAGATCTTTCACTTTCAAACGTAACAGAAGTTCAGAACAGTCTTGAGGGAATGTCTATCGTTGGTCCTTCCTGTTTATATTTTTGAAATTTAGGCGGCATTGGAATTATTGCACTCTAAGTGGCTTATGCATGATGTGGCAACATCGCAAATTTATGTGTTAGAAGCGCTGTAGATTTGCCTAGAAAATACATAAAATGTCTTTTTGGTTATTCTAGGGAATTTTTATCATTATTATTTTTGCCAAAAACTATAGTTATTGCGTTGTTTAATACACGGTGCAATGTTGCCGCATTGACCTTTGCCGGTGGGTCAGATCGTCTAGTGATTGCATTTTAAATGTCATGTTTAAATTTGTTTTATTAGAAATCTAATGGTTTAATGTGTAGAATTATGTTTTAATACTGATTTTTATATATTCGTTGAGGTGTGTTTCGAGTGGTTATTTTCAGCATACTGTTAAGTGCCAATAGTCGCATCATGTATCGGAATGCTTTCTTATCTGCCGTGTGTCCGTGTGTTTTGGTTTCGTTGCACGGAGTTATGTGTATACACTTGTTGTAATAAATTGTGTTTTGGTTGCTTTAAGTATATTTTACTAACAACTCTTTGGCAATGGCATATCATGCTGATAATGGCATTAGTTGTCATAGAGGTGTCTTTATCGTAATTGAAGGATGTGATAAAATTGGTAAAACAACTCAATGTCTTAAACTGGTTGAAAGTTTAAATGAACATGGTATACCATGTGAGTATATGAGTTTTCCAGGTAAGATGTGTTTTAATTTATTTCTTATTGTTTTATGTATATGTGTATGTATGTATGTATCTATATGTATGTGCGTTTCATTGCCTTTTTAACAGACCGACATACTGAAGTGGGAAAAATAATTGACAAGTATTTAAAGAGAGAGATTGAGGTGGAGAACGAAGTCATACATCTGTTGTTTTCTGCTAATCGGTGGGAATTAAAGTAAGTTCTGAATTTTCTGAAATGTGTGTGTGGTGATGGTAGTGTTTATGAAGCTGTTTTAAGGATGTTTTTATTTATAGATGTGTAATGAAGAAGAAACTCCTGGATGGTGTGTCTATAGTTGCTGATAGATACAGTTATTCTGGACTTGCTTATTCGGCAGCGAAACCGGTATTTACTTTTTCAGTAAACCATTGCTACATGAATCTGTTGAGTGTTTATATCATTAATAGAATTTAAATTTATTTCAGAATATGGACTAGGAATGGTGTTGGAATACTGAAATTGGACTTCTTCAGCCAGACGTAGCAGTTTTTTTTTATGTGAATGGAACAGTTAGTTTATCAAGAGAGAAGTATGGACTGGAACGATATGAAGTACTCGATTTTCAAGAAAAGGTGAAGGCAAATTTTAAGAGAATTAAGTTTCTAAGATCAATGGTATGTTTCTTTTGTATGAAGTATTTTGCATGTTAAATTCTCTGTTATGTAACTGACTCTGGTTTTTATGCTCTGTTGATGATAGATCATAGGCGATAATGATGATATGAATGTCATTCATTATCGACTGTTTCGCATTGCCAAAGAAGTAATTGACATCGTTCAGAATGCACAATTGAATAGTTTTACTAATCCAGTATAATAAATAAGATGTAATCATTTACTTTTTTGTAAACAGAGTGTGTTGGGTTCAGGATGGAAACTGTGAATCATTCCTCTGTTTTATTTCATCTGAAATTATGTTTATACAGTGCTTCATTCTGTTACATTTTTATTTTACTATACTAATAAAACCCATACATGTGTATAAACTGTCACTATATTTGAATGGTTGAGGCATCAAAATGTAATGCTATTGATTGCTGAGAGTACATCATTATAAAGTAGTTCTGCGTCTTTTAATCCATCAACTACTGTTGTCTTACTGCTGTTTGAACCTAGTAGCCATTCATCCATTAGAGAATGTAAATCTGTAAAGTAAGATAGAGGTAAATTACGTTCTTCTGGTCTTCCTCTTTTTATAGCTCGTTGGAAAGCTATTTCAGGATCAACTCGTACGTAAATGAAATGAGATGAACGTTTGTCAGTGTCAATCATGGAGTCGTATACATTCAGTAAAATATCATATTGCTCCTTTTTCAAGGGGACACTATGGTGAAATTTGGAAGTCTGGGAGCCTATGTTTCTGAACATTTTCCTTTTTAATTTCTTAAAGCAATCACATAATAGGACCTTCTCTAGCTTTCCCAGAATTTTAGGAGCCACCCAAAGCTCTGAAAATCTTTAAATATGTTAAACCAGGCCTATCTTTAAAAAGTTCCATGCGCAAACTGGTTTGAATTATATTTCCAAATTTTATGTTAAAATGTTCTATTATACACTAATATT